GATATACCCCCCAACTTGTGAGGGAAGCATCCGTTGATAACATTATGCGTCGACAGGAAGCCCCTAACAGTGGGTCTGGGCGAGGAACCAAGGTTCTTCCTCAAGACCGAAGCACGAAGGCAAATCCGCGTGACCTTGATCATGCGAAAAACGTTTTTCTCCTCAGAGAAAACCCCTTGGTCCTGAGCCATCACTGCATGGGTCTCATGTACAGAAGGCCAAAAGTAATTACGCTGGACGCAGCTGCCATGATATATACCCCATTTACTGCTGTAAAAGGCTACACCTAGAAAAGTGGTCCTCAGAGCACACTCTTCTTGGCGTTGAGCAACAACCCCCAACATCTTAAAATGAGACAGAACAACATCTCAATGCCAAACTGCCATATGCTCAAATTGAGCTAGGATCAATCAATCATTGATAGTATAATACGCAAATGCCCTGGAGTCCAGAGGAGCCAGAGCTGCATCCACGCATATTGAAAACAAAGGTGTGGGGTGAGAACCTTGGCTGAATAGGAGAACCCGATATTGGTATTCTTCGCCCCCGAAAGCAAACCTCAGGAACCTCCTGTGATGAGGATGGAAAGATAAGTAAGCGTCCCTTAAGTTTATTGAGAGAAACCAGTCCTCGGACTGAATCTGTGACACAATCATATTTAAGCATATTGAACTTAAGATTCTGAAACCTGCTGTTTAATTGACACAGGTCCAGAGTAGTATGCAACACCTTATCCTCTTTCAGAAACAATGAAGTAATGGCTGTCTGCTGGGAGGAGGAATCCCTTCTACAGCTCCTTTTACAGAAGTGTCAATACTTCCTGCTCCATAACCAAAGCCTGCTCGGGTCCACCACTACGAGGAGGACCCCTAGAAATCTGGGCGGACAAGAACCGAACTGAATTCTGAAACCCTTTTCTATAGTGTGCAGGACCCACTGAGAAATGTGTGGCAGTAGTTTTTACGCTGCCAGAAATTCTACTAGGGGAACCAGTCTCTCAAGACTGGCCTCTGGATTTGCTTGAACAATCATTTCGGTGCCCTGAAGTGGCGAACCGACAGGGAGCAACTGAACTGACCACTCTACGACCCTCCTCGGAGGATCGTATGGGGACGGCGACACCTCGGTGTCCTGAACGGCGAACCGACAGAAAACAACCAAACTGGCAGCGCTGCGACCCTCCTCAGAGAGTCGCACCCCAGAGGTTGCCGAGGAGAAACGATTTCTCAAAATCGTTCCTGCCCCGGAGGAGCCCTCGGAAGCCTGATAGCCTCATTTTCTTGTCTAAGCTTTATTAGAGATGATGACAGTCCTCAGATCTTGCCTATCTCTTAACTAGCTTAGTTCCTACGACCCTCCTCAGAGGACCGTTGGATAAAGCAGGCACCTCGGCTCCCTGAAACGGCGAACCGGCAGGGAAACCGAACCGTCAGTGCTGCGACCCTCCTCAGAGAGTCGCGCCCCAAAGGGCACTGAGGAGAAACGATTTCTCAAAACCGTCCCTACCCCAGAGGGGACCACCCTTAGAAGCCTGACCGCCTCAGCGTTAGGGCTTCTCCTTTGTCCAAGCTTTTTTAGAGATAAAACAGTCCTCAGATCTTGCATTTCTCTAACTGGCTATAGACTGTTCTTTTTTGCACCTTGTGCTGCGAGGAGCTTAACAGGCCGAGACTGCTCTCGTCCAGCAGTCTCAGGAACATTGGTGAGGAAGAAACCTTTGGAACACCGCTGAATGGATTATTTCATAGTTTTCTTGAAAGCGGAGCGTCCAGAAGAACAGACATATTTATATCTTTATTTTCCCATTATCTTTATATCGAAAAAACATATACAGTATGTACATATAATTCTGTGGCCACCAGCGGGAACAACCGAACTGGCAGCGCTGCGACCCTCCTCAGAGAGTCGCTCCTCACACTCATTCCATACCCACCAGGGCTGCCTAATAAAAATCTATTCATTATCTATGATGGCTGGTGGGTAACATCGGGGTTAAAAACGATGACACTGACTCGGGAGAGAGAAAGCTTGCAAGAGTCTCTTTAACCCGAGGCACTGAAATACCCAAATATTGCTATAATTAGACATCATGGGGATTAAACACATAAAATATAAACCCCGACGAGGAGGCGGAGATACAGAGTTTTCTAGTTTTTAAGATAAATTTAATCTAAAAACTCTTATTTATTTTTCAATCTCATAATATTCAGCTAGCCAGTAAAATTTTAACTGGCAAAAGCATAAATAAAACCTCCTTTTAAAAGCTCCTCTTTATTCAGCAGATATGAGCTGATATTTATTCATTTAAAAGTCAAACATCTGCCTTTCTCTTAACATTTTTATTTGTTTTGTAGCCTACTGTTTCTTTTTAAAACAAACACTAACGATACCAATTCCTCGGAACTGGAAATCGCAGTCCACTAGATCTGGCATGTGAAAGCTGAGATAGAGCTGAGCTCGTCCCAACCCCCGCTGTCAGATCCATTTGCGAACCCCGAAATGCGAGTCGTCTCCGTGCCTCGGCAACAGAGAGACCCGCGCGGGGAACGCGAACCGAACCGTCCTCCTCAGAGAACGCCCGGCGGGAGCGGAGCGTCCTCGCGGACAGCTTCTCGCAATGCCCACAGTCAGCTCCCTCGAGAACTGACTGCTGACATGCTCCACTCCCAAACAAATAGCTGATGTGTGTCCCCACCCCTGATGTAACGAGGGCAGGGAACCACACAGCGTCTATAATCTTGCTTGCCATAAATATAGATAGTGATATATATTTATTTTCTTGGTTTTGACAAACAACAATAAATAGACAAGGACAGAGTACAGAGATCGCTTGCTGAAGGCTACAGAAGCTGTCGCGGTCTGATCTCAAGGGTGCTTTATAGTTTCCTGGTCGATGACGTCACCTGACGTCCTACTCTCTCATTGGACTGATTGTACAGACGCTTCACGACGCAATCACGCAGAGCGTTCCCATCGCGTTTGACAACGCAGCTCGAAGTTCCCTTGAAAGGGAACACTGGAATGCATTCTCATCCCAAGGAGATATGAAGAGTTCAGATGCAAAAGCCTCTAAATGCCATTTGTAATTTTTTTACTTTAATGATGATTTTTATCAAACTTGTATATTTAAGTTCAGTGATTTCACTTAAATGGCAATAATAATTACCTATTAATTGTTATTTAAGTGAAATTACTGAACTTACAAGTTTGATAAAAATCATCATTAAAGAAGAAAATTTCAAATGGCATTTAGAGGCTTTTGCATCTGAACTCTTCATATATTACTGACACTTTTGACCATGCTTCAACATCCGACGCTTTAGGCACCCTTTAGCGTCAGTCGGATGACGCTATTTTGGGGCGTCATCTAACTGACACTTTACCTTCAGCGTCAGTAAGATGACGTGGGTTGGTTTAGGTCTGGGGTAGGGTTAGACCACTAGGATAGCGTCATAAAACTGACGCTTTACCTTTAGCGTCAGTTATATGACGTGGGTTGGTTTAGGTTTGTTGTAGGGTTAGGGTTAGACCACTAGGATAGCGTCATCTAACTGACGCTAAATGGTGCCTAAAACGTCAGATGTTGACGCATGGTCAAAAGCGTCAATTAGGTGACGCCTTGTGATGAGAACGGGCTGAAAACCTGGTTATGTTCACCTAACTCAAATAATTTTGAGGCAAATGATTGCCTCTATTTTTTAAGTTTGCAAACTCAAATCATCATCAGAAAGTATTGCTGTTTTTTAAAATAACTGTAAATTACAAATAATCATTTATTTAAATCAAAATGTATATTTAGTGTTTTGTTCATCTTAATTTAAAGCTACTCAAAGTGTTAAGTACTGACAACTTTAATTACTTTACTTACGCAACTAAAAATATCCCTTTTAGGGTTAGGGTTATTTTGCTTTATCTAAACTTAGTTTTTTATCTAAATGAATTAAATCACTTTAAATGTAATAAAATTAAACTATATAATTTAATATAACTTAAATTGTAGTAGCAATGTTACTTAAATCATTTGTTTAGCATTTACTCTACATTTTAAGTGTCATGGCAACTTAAATCTATGATAGATGTTGAATTCACTCAAAAATAATAGTTGTACAATGTAAATATCAAATTAATCCTCAAGCCGTATTCGGGAAAAATCTTTTTTTTAAGACTTTCCTTAAACTGAGAGGTACAAGACTTTTCTACTTTTCCTAAGTTTGCCACCTGATCACACAATTTTTTTGACTCGATTCTACAATATTAAGTTGAAAACTTGACAAAAATGGGCAAGAATGAACGGGAAAATAATAATTCAGTACATTTAGTTTTTTATTTGTCGAATAAAAATCAATAGATCCAACACAATGCAGATCATAGGATACTGGTTTATTCTTACCTTTTTGGTACCACTTATTTTTTTTGAGTTATTGAAATCTTATGGGGTTTTTTTGTTTGAAATAAATGATAAATGATCTTCTACCTTTTCCTTAGCATGGTTAGTCTCACCCAACACAAATGTTTTTTTGTTTTTTTTTTAATTACAATTTTTGCTTGAGATAAAATCAAAAACTTAAGAGGTTAAATTTGTTATAACAATGGTTTATAGAGTTCAGCCTATATGCACCCATTGAGTACTACAGTCGTCAAGTGGCAATTGATATTATAACATATGACACCAAAGTCACAACATTTTTAGGTTTTGGCTGCCTAAAGCTACTGGATTGATTTTTACAAGTTAAATAAATATTAAATATAAAATAAAAATAAGCATAATTTACGTATAAAATATGGTAGTTTTAGAGGTAAATACATTTTTAAAAAGGCATAAATTGATACTCTTTATTTTATCGGAGAGAGTGATATAACATTTATTTTCAGATCACACCTGAGACCTTCATGCCCAAATTTGTCCATACTGCTATGTGAATACGGCTTGAGGGTTCAAAAGTTGAAAAAATCCAGTTAATTCTGTTATAGATGCTGACAATTCAGTAAAACAAGAGTACTTTTTTATTACAAATATCATTTATTTATTTTATATCCAGGCACAAGAAGTGAAAAATCAAAATGTTTATAAACAGTTATGCTTATAAACAGGATATTAACAGTTCGTAGAAATTAGTGCAAGCAGAATAATGGCAAATGGCTAATAATCATTGACTCGTCTGAAGGAGCCCACAATAGCACAGGTAGCACACCAGTCTCGGTATCTCCTGTATTCCCCAGGTTTTAAGAAGTACTGCCTCCCTCTGTAGTTGGGATATTCATAGAAGATCCAGTAGCCATTCATCACATTACAGGAGTACACATGCCGATGGTGGAAACGGTCAGACACACAGGGGCAGTCGTCCATGAATTCCATCATGTGACCTCCGTAATCAGCCTTCTCATAGATCCTCATTCTGTATTGTCCCCTGTACTGTTGACATCAATATGCAAAGGAACGATTTAGTACACTGGCATCAAAGAAACTGTCATGTATACCCACAAAAGCAGCACGTTCAGTGCACCTCACCATTGGTATCTGGCGACAGGATCGAATACAGCTACTGAAGCCCATCCATCTCTGGTAGTCAGAATACTCGCCTCGCTTCATAAAATACTGGTGGCCCATATAATTTGGACGTTCATAGATCATGAAACAGCCACTCTCTACTCTGATGGAGTTGCAGCGACTGAAGTAAGTGTGTAGGTCTGTGCAGTCGTTGCTGCACTCATAACTACGACCTTGAAAATTTTTGTCCTCGTAAAAAACAATCTGAAAAAGTTAACAAAATCAACACTTCATTATAGTGCCGCTATCAGGAGAGTAATCTGTTTGCAGCAAAGGTTAGTATAAATAGGTGAGGTGCAATTCAATGTAAAAGTCATGAAAGTGGTGCCAAAAACCCTACCTTGCCCATGGTCACCGTTGGAGAGATTCCATATGCTTCCCAAGCTTTTTATACTGCCTCTTGACAAACAAAGTATTGTTATTCAAATTATCACAGGAATATGTCAGGGTACTGGCACATGTTACCTTTTTGTTGGAGCACAATATTGGGTTAAAAATATGGATTTTACTTGAAAAAGGATATATAATTACGCTTGGTGTTTTCTCTGGCATGGTCCAGGGAAATGACTGGTACGCACCCTCACATTCACAACACAATGCTCACAGAACAATATGGAACATCCCTTTTGCATTAAAGAAGTTGCTCAACAGAGGGAGCGGTTACTGAGATTCCATTCTCAATAGGATTTTCAAATGCACTGACATACTTTACAGTTTGTTTGTTTTTTCCAGTAAATTCTTTCAATATGAAAAAAATGCAGAAATTACATGGAGAATTTACTAACTGTGTTTTGGGAATGATTAAACAAAAGTGTTACGTGAGCATTGTCTCATTCAGATGTCAATTCGTCTCTAGAACTGGGGTGTCACATTCAGTTCCCGGAGGGCCACTATCCAGAAGAGTTTAGCTCCAACACTAAATAAACATGAAACAGCTAATCAAGATCTTTAGAATCACTAGAAACTTCCAGGGATGTGTTTCGTTGCTAAAACCATTGGTTAATAAAACTTTTTGAAAAACTAGTTTGTTTTAGCTGTTAGTAAGGTTAGCAATATTAGCAACAAGCAAAAGGCCCAATTAAAGTATAAATGAATGAATAAATTGTGGCATGTAAAATATGCATAAAGTTTTGTTTTGTTTATCAATATGATGGTCATTTTTTGCTAACACCTACAGCTGTGGATGCAGCATAATGCAAATGTCAAGTAGAAAAACTTAAATGTAAAAATTGCAGCAATATATCCAATTATATAATTTTATGTATGTGCTTGTTGTAAATCTCTTCAATGTGGATAAATAGCCTACATTTTTTCAAAAGTAAAATGCAAAACTTTTCAAGTGAAAAAAAATGCAAACATATTTTAGAAGAAGGCCTAGGATACACAGTAAAAAGCAATCAAGCAAGCAGTTATTACATGTTCTTGTGATGTCATAAACTACCAATTGACTATGTGTGCAAATAGTTTTTATCAGTCGCACAAAAGTTATTCGAAAATGAGAAAGATTAATTTTTAGAAAAAAAAGAAAAGAATAAATTATTCACAAACCTGTTAGCATGAGTATTTCAAGAATAAAAATAACCACATAGGCCTAATCTCAGCCATACTTTCATAAATACATGAAAAGAAGGACACTTTTTCATCTCCCATGTTGTGAATATTCTTCCATTAGTAAAAAAGTTGTATTAAATTATTAAAATAAAATAGCACTGCATGACATTGATAGTAGTTACTGTATTGGGATACCTTAAAAGAAGCAGTAGCAGATATTATCTGAAATTTATATCCACCCAATCACAACTTAAATTACTTACTTTAAAAATCCAGAATGACTTAATTGATTGATTATTCAGTCTTCATATTCAGTCTTCTTCTTTACATTATAAAGCTGAATAGGAGTTTACGAGAAAAAAAAAACGTTGTAATTTGGTAGTTTATAGCTACTTTGTACCACGATAACTTGCATGTGTAATAAATACGCCCTCTAATTTCGTTCAGGTCAATGTGCATTTAAATAGAAGAGCTGCTTTTGAATTTTGTCATGGTAGTGAAAGATTTACAGTATCTACAATGAGGACAGTTAATCCAGACTGAGCCCCACATTGTTCAGCCAAAAGCATAAGCTGTGTGATCGACAGTTTGCCCTCAGTTTTGCTTCACTGAATTTTTCAATGAATATTTTCCAGTCTGGTAACCAGATCTGCACTGATAGGTCAGTGAAGGAAATTACGTTTAGAATAACTATAGTTACAGTTTAATTATTTAAATGATTTTAAGTTCATATTAAAACACTACACCAGAATAATAGCCAGGCAAGCAAATATTTCAGTCAAGAGAATTTATTTAGTGCATATATGTCTGCACAATTCATGTCGTCTAGTTGAAAGTGGTTATTCTCCTGAGGGATCCAATTCTCTGGGCCGTTCCTCCCCACTCGCTGTACTTCCTGTATTCACCTGGTCCAAGGTAGTACATTCGTCCCCTGTAGTTGGGATGCTCGTATAGAAGCCAGTGACCGTCCATTACATGGCAGGAGTGGATGTCAGATGTATGGAAGCGTTCCATGATGTTAGGACAGTCTTCTGTGAGTTCAATCATCTGACCTCCCATATCAGCTCGGTCATATAGTCTCATTCTGTAGTTACCATTATGCTACAAGAAAACATGCATTTGGGATATACTAAGCAACACATTTATAATTTCATGTGGCAAGAACGTCAAAGTGTGTTTCAGCAGTCAAAAGCATTTGAATTTATGAACTAGAGCATGGTTATTTTTTTAATCATTTAATATTTTTTCCTTTAAATCACTTACCATGGGAATCATACGGCATGATCTGATATAGTTACTGAACCCAATCATACGCTGACAGTCAGAATAATCCCCCCTTCGCAGGAAGTACTGCTGTCCCATATAATTTGGGTGCTCGAAGCACCCACTCTCTACCCTGATAGAGTTGCATTGGGTAAAATAGGGGTGTAGGTCAGCACAGTCGCTGCTGCACTCATGATGGCGGCCTTGAAAGTTCCTGTCCTCGTAGAAGATAATCTATTAAAGAAAGTGGCACAGTAAATCTACTATTCAAGTTTGCAATAATATGAGCTTTAATACAGCTGTGAACTGGATTCATGCTATAGCGTTAAAAAACGTATTAGTCTGAGAGTGAGAAAAGTTACAATCTTACTTTTCCGATAGTCATGTTGGCATCTGGCAGGGTTATACTGCTCAACACTAGCATCCAGTTTATCACTGTCTTTTATAAAACCTAGAAGCATATGTGATTACGCAGCATAAAGTATTGTCATTCAAATAAATTTAGCCCATAGGGGCTACAATCAGGGGGGCAATGAAAAAAAAAAAACTGATTATGTTTGGCTTGGCCTGGTGCAGTTTTTCCTTATTCAACAAAATGCTCCTGTCCTGCAAGCAGAATCTTTAATCTGGCTGTAATCAGCACAATGGATCGATGCAAAAGATCTTTTATTGAATCAGTCCAGTAGTCTGGATGAAAGCAGAAATATTGTTATATGATTCATCTTATATAATGACCAAAAATGCCAGTAAACTAACATGAAAGCAGAATATGGAATCATTTTACGGAACTCCTTTTAAAACTGTATAAAGAAAACATTATAGTTATATATATGCAGTTTTATTTTGATTGATTGGTCGTAGAAACAAAATTACGTTTTGAAAAATACACTGTCAAGTATGAAGTAAAACATGCTATAGCCTAATAAAAAAAAAAAATTAAAAAAAATTGAAAGATTCATACTTTATAAACATTTATTTTAAGGTATCATAAGAGAGTGTCAAGGCTGAATGAGTTACTCAACATGCTTGATTTTCATAATTATCATGGCTAATAAATGCATGAATATTGCTAATTTGAAGTCGTTTGATAGAACCCACACGGGCACTCATGCCTCCCCATTCAGTGAATCTGGTGTATTCTCCAGGCCTTATGAGGTACATCCTGCCTCTGAAGTTGGGATTTTCGAAGAAGAGCCAGTTTCCACCAATTACCTTGCAGGAGAATATGTGGTTTGTTTGGAACATGTGCATCAAATCTGGACAGTCTTCCACAAGAGCCATCATTTGACCTCCATACTCAATTCTCTCAAAAATGTTCACCTCATGAGAAGATCCCTATGCATGATAGATGAACAAAACGTGTATGTAAATCAGCTACTATCCCATTTTTTAATAAAAATGTCTGAAATTCAAAAGAACCACAGGAGTGATAAAAAGGTGAAGTTTGTAATTTCTTTCAACGTACAGTATCAAGCATATATAATCAAGCATAATAAAGCATATATAATAGCATATAATCACCATGGGAATTACACGGCAGGAGCAGACAGAATCATTTTTGCCCAACCAGCTTTCAAACTCTGGATACTCTCCTTTACGGACCAGGAATTGCTGGCCGTTGTAATTTGGTTGTTCATAAATCATGAAGCATCCACTCTCAACCACGATAGAGTTACAGCGGTTAAGGTAGCTGAGCATATCCGCACAATCACCACTGCATTCATATTGATGACCCCCAAAATATTTGTCTTCATAGAAAATTATCTGTTAAAAAAGAGATAGAAGGGGGAAAAAGAAAGTCCACATACATACACAATTTACTGTAAACCATCATACATGTCTTCAACATACAAAACAAAAGCCTATTTTTTGTGGGTTAATCCAAACCCTAAACCCTTTCTCAATTTCCTCACAGTATTACCTTCCCCATTTTTGACAGTGCAGTTGTACCATTACTTTGAGGACACTCTTTGGTATATATAGGAGACACGAAGTGCCGACACAGTGTGTGTCATTCATATTACAATTGCACAAAAAAGGGGGGGAAAAGGAAAAAAATGGTTTAAAGTTACACTATAATTATTTGTTAAAAAATATTGCCAGCTCTACCATTTTGTGAAGTAAATGATAAAATAGAGACTTTTATCACATTCATTTTTTTATATATATAAGAGATATTTATCTCTTTATATTTATTATGTGTCAGACAGAGAGAAACACAGGCATACAAGAATAAGGCTACATAAGAGGAGGTCATGTATATATATATATATATATATATATATATATATATATATATATATATATATATATATATATATATATATATATATAATATATATATATGAAGAGTTCAGATGCAAAAGCCTCTAAATGCCATTTGAAATTTTCTTCTTTAATGATGATTTTTTATAAAACTTGTATATTTAAGTTCAGTAATTTCACTTAAATAACAATTAATAGGTAATTATCATTGCCATTTAAGTGAAATTACTGAACTTAAATATACAAGTTTGATAAAAATCATCATTAAAGAAGAAAATTTCAAATGGCATTTAGAGGCTTTTGCATCTGAACTCTTCATATATATATATATATATACTTTGTATATTCCAAACACACATACACT